GGCAAACCCAGTAGGCATTACCCCTCACGCCGTTGGCAAGGATCTCGTAGACGAAGATGCCCTCGTTTGTGATCCAAGAGGTACGGCCTCGGTTACCCTTCCTCGAGATGGCGTCAACGTTGACGAACCGCCGGCCCTTCCATATGGCGTAAGGTAAGGCGTCGAGAGTATTGCGCGTGGCTAGGTCGGCTGTCGACGCGTTGCTGGCAGCAGTAGATGACACGCGAATCTGAGCGGCGATCCCGCGAGGAGTCGAGGCCTCGCGGCCGACGAAGTGATGAATACATGGATTGCGGGCCGGCAGAGGCATCAGGGCAAGGCTTGAGGGGTTAAAGAAGGCGTTGACGATGGCGTATAGGTAGGCTTTCGAGGGATTGACGGCGTCGTCAACGAGGGCAGTGGTGACGTCGAAAAAGCGCCGTTTTTCAAGGGCTGGCAGAAGGGGTCGAAAAACCCCGTTTTTCAACCCCTTACAAGGGGCCCAAAAACGCGTTAATTAAGCCTTATAGCAAAAAGCGCGTTTTACTGGCACTTCCTGGCAGGACCTAGCAGTCAGGTTAGTACTGCCAGGAAGTACCGGCCCCACTTGGCCACCTGTTAACGTGAGGGCATCACCAACTCGACGTCCGTAACATACGCGGATGGACTTTTTTTATTTTTTGAAAGTTATTTCAGGAACTATGATTAGTCTAGGGGCCCAGATTTTCCTTTTTCCGGGCAACGTTAGCTTGATCAAGTCAGCCAAGCTTTCGGCGCTGTAGGCTTGTCTGATTGAATGGGGAAATGGCCTTGGATTGATTGGTTGATTGATTGATTGATTGATTCGGCTTGGATGGGATGCTGCGCTGCGCCGCATGTTGGTGTGATCAACGGGTTGCAGGTCGTCATGCCCATTCTGCCGGACGGTGGAATGGAGATCCTGGTGGGAGTTGAGAAGAACTGCTTGGATAGGTTGCTGCATGAGCCTCTCTGGATGAAGTATGCAGAGACGAGGTGAACGGAACTTGAGAATGGTATCAGTTGGGTGTACAAATGAGTTACGTGACGGATTGTGTCAATTACCTATAGCTTGACTAATAGTGTTACTGTGTTTTTTTCATCGCGTATCTCTGTCATACGATGTGCTGTTCTTCCTATGACCTTCAATTTTCTCATCCAATAGGCACTTGTTTCAGATCAAGACTGTACCAGACTTAAACTAAGTCTGGAACTTCTCATCATCGAATCAAAGAAACGCAAAGTATTCATGTAGTAATAACAGTTATCAACGATTAGATGATGACTTCATGAAGAGAGCCGCTCAGTTTTGAAGTCCTCAGTACCTTCTACCTGATGATACAGTTCGTAGGGAAAGCGTCTGCTTGACCTCATTTTCCACTGTAGCATGCTGTCACTCATGTGTAATATTATGCCCAGCTCATGACACATTAAACCCCATCATCCCACGTACCAGACTCTCCGGGCTCATTAGAGACTTTCCATTCTACTATCGTGAATCAGAGACTTTAACCAAACTTTGAGTTGTAAAAATGTTTCAAAACGGAAAGAGAAAAGCTTTGGGCAGTTGCATGGACCTGATGAGCCATGTCTGTTACCAAAATTCAGCTCAAAAAACTCATTGAGAGTCGTCCGAGTCAACTTCCCCAACCCCTACCTGGCTGGCATCAGTGCACCGGGTGAAGAACTTTGAGTAATCGTTTGCTGTAGTAATTTGACTGATGAAATCTTCTATAATCGGCGAATCGGATGGATTACTAACGTTTGACGTTTGTCGTCTGAAGTAAAACGAAGCATCGCGGTTTGAGTGGATGAGAAGAGACAGGCAAGACATGGATATAAACTCAGATTTGACTTCACCGGGGTTCGAAATTAGTGCCGCATAAAGCTGTTGATGGTAGTAAATTCAAAGCCCCCTGATGGCCCCTCAACGGACAATACCCATCGGCTCCCGCCCCAAAAACCAGATATTACAATTGAGATGGATCTCCAAAATATTGTCTTCTGGGTGTCTTCACAAATCATCTTCTCCAGTTGTCGCGTAGCCTCGTTTAGGGGCCTTTCAAGTCACTCGTTATCGTCATTCTTCTGTAACAATGTTCAGCGAAACCCTCGTTGCAGTCCTCCTCCTGCTCGAAGGCGTTCACTCCCACCGGCATCATGGATTCCATAGCCATGGAGAATTGAGACGCTCAATCATACATAGCCCAAGGGCAGACGAAGAAGCAGCGAGGCGAGGATCAGACAACGTTTTTGTAAAGATCTCCCATGACCGGCCAATTTTAGTCCCGTCAAGAGCAGATCATCCCCAGAAGCCGGTGGGAGTCGATAACAAAGACAGCCCCATCCAAACCAACAAGTTCTACGCGAACTTCTTCGCAAACAACCAAGACAATGCGACATGGACTCACCCTTACTCGGTCTGGTAGTCCAACGATACCGTCAAGCAGGGCCACGGGTTGTCAATTTCTCATACGGATCGGCGCAACTTTATCTACGGGCCTGGAGAGCCCGTCCAGTCTTTCGAGGATCCATTCTTTGATCAGTCTATCGCGCTTTCGGCGCGGGAACTGCAGAGTGGGACGGTTTTGACTATGGACTCACTAACAGCATTCTCCGCTAATGTCAATCTTGCAACGAGGAAAGGCGCCAAACCGCTTGTCTCATTTCCCGTAGTTCAGGGGATGGCGTTCGTTACAGGCATTTACAACGACGGCACTGTTCTCATTCAGTCCCAAAAGCAGTTCTCAAACATCACCGACCTTCGCTTGAGTCCTCATGGCCTTGGAGCCACAGTGTATGGGTGGAATGCTCGGTTGGGCGATGGGTCGAACTGGTTGATCTACCTTAATCCAACTTTTACGTCTGAGAGGCCAACTCTTCGAATGACCGATAAAGGAACCATTTTGGGTCCAAGGCAGTTCACTGGAACTGTTCAAGTTGCCAAGAACCCAGCAGGCACAGCCGGAATCGACGTCTTCAGCAAGGCCGCTGGAGCATACCCGGTTGGCGCCACGCTATCGGGATCTGTCTCTGGCAAGACTGGAACCTACACCCTGGCGTGGGAAAAGAAGGGGATAAAGCAACGGTCACTTCTCATGTTTGCTTTACCGCATCATGTCAAGTCATTTGACACAAAGACAGCCAGGGGTCTAACGAATATTACATTGGCCAGTACGACCAAGGGGATTGCCACAGCTACGCTTGCGGATGAGTTCACCATGGTGGAACAGGACCTTCCAACGGACATTGGCTTCGATCCGTGGTCACCTCGTCTTGGATCAGTTGGATCCGAGGGCTCAGCGGCAACCGTTTCAGAAGACGCTAAAACAGCAATCATTAGTGCAGCAAAGATCGAGCTTGCTCGGGACATTACAACCCTGACCAACTTGACATCCAAGTATTATGCTGGAATCGCCTTTTCAGTATACGCGAGGGCGATTTATGCTGTCAACAACATTGCCGGAGACACTTCATTCACAGCTAGCTCACTCACCAAGCTTGAGGCTGCGTTTGACAAGTATGTCAACAATCAAGAACCAAACCCTCTATTTTACGACGACGTGTGGAAAGGCCTCGTCTCTTCGGGATCGTACGGCAACAACGACTCCTCGATTGACTTTGGTAACACGTATTACAACGATCATAACTTTCACTACGGTTACTACGTGTATGCTGCTGCAATCATTCCCCACTTTAACCCATCTTGGTTGACGAAGAATGACGGCCTAAACAAAATTTGGGTCAACAATTTGATCCGCGACTGGTCCAACCCATCGACTGAAGACCCTTTTTTTCCTTTCTCACGAAATTTCGACTGGCTTCACGGCCACAGCTGGGCCAGAGGCGTACTCGAGGCGCCGGACGGCAAGGATCAAGAGTCCTCGGCCGAGGATGCCTTCTCGACGTACGCGATCAAGATGTGGGGCAAAGTTATTGGTGACGCTAAGCTCGAGGCCCGAGGCAATCTTCAACTTGCCGTGACGGCGCGCAGTCTCCAGTCGTACTTCCTCATGGCAAGCGATAACGATGTGCAACCGCCCAACTTCATCGGGAACCGCGCCACGGGCATTCTCTGGGACAGGAAGATCAACCACACGACATACTTTGGCGACGAGATCGCCTACATTCAGGGCATCCACATGCTTCCGATTGTGCCGAGCAGCGCGTGCGTACGCAAGGCCTCCTTTGTGCGTGAGGAATGGGACCAGTACTTTGCTGGCAACAAGTCGGGTTCTCTCACTAGCGGCGGTTTCGCGGGCCATGTGTATGCGAACCTCGCGATTGCGGATAAGGCTGGGGCCGTTGAAAGTTACGAGTTCATGAAGAAGCAGACTCCTAGCAGCCCCTACCTCGACGGGGTGAGTTTGACTTGGAACCTCGCTTACACGGCGGCGTTGGGAGGCAGTCTGGGGTCCAACTCTACGCTGAACTCAACAAGTGGAGCGGTCTGAAGAGAGATCCCAGATGTTTGTTTTGAGGTGGTAGTCGGAATCAGCAAAAGCTAGATCTCCGAAGCCATGTTCATATCTTCACCCAAAGGAAGGGCTTCGCGGAGTTGAGATGCGATCTGAACTAGGAAAGTCAGTCGCATGTTCGTGTATAAGTGTAGCAGCTCAAGGAGCAAGATTTGAAAACTTACGAGCAATTTTCCATCTTCTTGAAATTCGTTCCGAGAGCATTTGTATCACCTCCCGTAACAGAGCCTCGGTATCACGACCGTAGTATTTTCCAAGTAGAATTGCCGCTAATCCAACCTTTTTATACAAGATGACTGCAGTGAGAGGCATTCTGTCGAGCTTGAGAATGTCCACGGTCTTCTCCATACGCATCAGATCATGCGCAATGGTAAGAGCCATTTCAAGAGCTGCAATGGACGATTCTTTTACGAAGAAAGGAAGCTCTCCCCCGTCCGTGCATGTCAGCCTCTTCTCATGGAGCTTTATCAGTGCCCTTCTCCATATCAGCTGTTGATCCTTGACGTTGGATTACTAGGGGGTTACCTACAAAAGATAGACGGTTACCACGGTGTACTGGTGCTCCAGTCGTTTCCACGTCATGATCAGGGTTTCTCGAATTTTCTTCTGCACCAGCATGTCGAGCTTCCATGATCCATGGTCAAGGAGTGTCTCCAGTTCGACAGAAGGATCTCTTGTAAGCTGCATAACACTTTGTAGCGCATACAGCGCTTGTATTTCGCTGGAGAAGACCCCGCCGGTCTGAGCATCGTCTGCGGAAAACGCAAGCAGTTGAAACGAGCCGCCGAGATCGAGGCCTTTACTCCACGTCTCATCCTCTCTGGGAAGCATCGTACCGATTCGAGCATCGCGAATGAGTGGTGCTCGTTCAGAATTCCCAGTGGAATAGGAGTCAAGTCTATCGAGAAAGTAGATGGCCCACCATACGCGCATTTTCTCTTCGTTGAACACTGTAGCCGAGTCCAAGGACTGGTGCAGGTTATTGATATAGCCAAGACTGGCACATATTTCCAGGGTGGCGTACGCGTCAGACACGAGGCCTCGACCCTGCTCGTAGATAGCGAGCAGTAGGCCTGACTGAATGGTCTGCAGATGGCCTCTAGAACGTGTTTGTAATAGTAAAAACGATGTTTTGCAATCGTCATAGAGCGATGGTAAGAGAGGTTCGTTGTATGGCGCCGAAGCAGAGGGGATCACCGGGGTGATGAGTAAAATGTGTAAGAGCAGACAAGCGAGCTCGGCAGACGGTCTGCTCTGCAATGATCCTGCTTGTTTACTCAAGCTGACTGGGTGGATGATTGGAATCCATTCGTGGATCGACCTCAAGTATCCATCCACCACTACCTCTATTCCGAGGTCAAGGACTTTGAGCGTGGCGAAAAGGTGTGCTGTTAGCAAGTAGTCATAGTCTTGGCGTCCTGCTAAGATTGGTCCTAGAAGAGAAGAAGAAATCTGATGTTCCTCCTTCTGAGAAGAGCCGTAGTGACATATGCTATTGTGACTATGCGGCATCAGTACTTTTAACTCCTTGTAAGACGACACGCCCCTGCTACTTACTCTATGCACCGACTACAAGCCAGTAGTAGCCGATCGCAACCCTTCTTCTTTGTCGAGCACGAATGGCAAGCGTTCGGAGCCAAACTACCTGTTGACATGCTGTATTTAGTACGGGACTAAGTTATCTCGACAATCGACACAATGAAGCGATCCAAGTGAAGTTCCGGAGCAACCCGCAGAAGACTTCATACTGCGGGTGGTTCCTGAAGAGTCGAGCTGCTAACAAACTGTTTCGGGTTGACCATTGAGCTAGTCCGCCGCTAGTCCGCCGCTGACCCGCCACTGGCAGAGCCAAGACCGGGCCAACCCGCCGGAGTAGTGTCGGACAAGTGAAGTCTGGTGCCAGCAATGCTACGATGTTCCTTCAAGGGGCTGCAATATTCAGCCTGAGACCACATGCACTTGCCATAAAAGGCCATTCCTCCTGATGGGTCATTTAATTTACTATTGAAACCATTGGCAGCGGTTTTTACGGCTCGCCGACGGACTTTTTACAGACCCTGGGGCCAATGCCATAAATAACCCAGTTTTCCCCTTACATACCTTATGCCAAAATACTCGAGGAAGGACCAGAACTGTATTCATTGCTCGCAGATCTATCATAATCATCAGAAAACACTTATTTTCTATCATCATGGCAATTCCAGAGACACACCGCGCCCCATCCCTGTTCATCAGCCATGGAGCAGGCCCCCTCCCACTCATCCACCCAGACTTGGAGGATTTCCGGCAGCAAGTCGCCAAATTGGGCAGCAGGCTCGATGGCGTCAAAGGAATTATCCTCCTTTCAGCTCATTGGGAATCCAATGAGCCCGAAATCACTGCCCTTGAGGACTCTGGTCTCTATTTCGACTACGGAAATGTAGCCGCAGCCCAAGCCCTCGTGCCACCCGAGGCCTACGAGACCAAATACTCTATCCTCGGAAACGCAGCATTAGCCGCGGAAATCAACAAGCGCCTTCTGGACTGCGGATTTCAACCGGTCCTAGATTATAAACGAGGCCTGGATCACGGTGTCTTTGTCCCGCTCAAGATCATGCGATCAAACGCAGACATACCGGTTGTCCAAGTGTCTGTTCTAACTAGGAAAGACGAGGAGGAGGCCACAGACAAGAACCTAAGTCTTGGTCGCGCCTTGGAGTACTTCCGAGACTTCGGGTACACTATCATGGGAAGCGGTGGGTCATACCATGACTTCCTGACCATGAAAGACGTGTTCCAAGGGGCTGGCGAGCTTCCCTCTGGGGCCGAATAGTTTGAGAACTACCTCAAGTCCACGGCGGCAATCTCTGACGCAAGAACTCGCGAGAAGGCGCTTAAGCGCTGGCGAGAAACCCCGTCGAGCTGTGTCTCATGTGAAAGCTGAGGCTGAACACTTTTGGCCGTTTCTCGTTGCAGCTGGCAGCGGGGGAGACACTGCTGGGCAGCAAATCCTCAAGCTCCTATCTCAGGGCGTACCCATGAGCTTCTACGAGTGGTAAACAATGGTGAGGGGTGGACAAAGGTGACTGGTTGGCAGCGCGTGCCTTAGCTCTGGTTCTTGGACAACCATGGCTGTGTACTTTTCATACATTCATACGGAGCCAAGTAGCTTGCTTCGCCAGGGAATAAAATTAAGGTGTTACTTCCAGAGTCCCCACGCGAGGTAGCGGCTGCCCAAGGGGGGGGCTGGCTAAAAGCCTAAGCCCAACTTGTTTGTGCCCCCAATGGCAAACATCCTCACCCCTGCTGAGAACCTGACGAGCCAAAGGCTATCAGGCCAACAGGGGCTTGCTTTCAGCGCTTCCGTGACATATTTACATGATAGAAGTGTTGGCTTGGCAGTTTGGATAAAGCGAGTGTTGGAAGGGGACCGTGGCAAGGCAAGGCAAGGCAAGGCACGGTTCGGGCAGCTGGGCAAATTTGCATCGCTGAGTTCAGTCTCTCATTAATTGATGTTACAGTGCTATTACACACAAGTAAATATTGCACTAAACCGATGTATTGGTCGTTCGTGGGTCACTGATTATGTGCCGTGCGCCGTCGCTTTGAATCGCCCACCTCCCAGAGAAAAGAATTAGATAAAATCATGCAACCTTAGCCCTTGCCCAAGACTTCCATCAACCAATCTCAACAGGTTTCGAACTGATGTAAAAGCCGTTTGATCTCGCCAGTGACTGGGGCGCCTCAACCACCGCCGGTTGTAACCTTGCTGAGTCGCGGTTGTACGCAGGAGGCTGTGATAGTGCCATCTCCTGCAAGTTGTCAAGAGCCTTCTGATGTCGCTTAAGGTACCTGCACCATGTGATGGCGCAGACCACGCAAGTGATCCCGATGACTCCGACACCAACTCCGATCCCAGCCTGCGCTCCGACGGGCAGACCACTACCACCGCCGCCACCACCAGAAGGCTCAGCTATGCTGCTCTGGCTGGCACTGACAGTAGGTGTGCCAGCAGACGCGGTCTGTCCATCACTGACAGTCGTTTGTTGGGTCGAGGTTTCTGTTGTAGGTACAGATGGAAGGGCTTGGGTGCTTGTTGGAAGCTCGGATGGCGTTATTATCACAGTCGTGGCTACTAACGACGATAGGGTCGATGTGGGAATTTCAGGCTCGTCGGTGATGTTGAAATACGCCGAGGACATTTGTTGAAAATCGAAGTTTCCCTGATGAGACGGATCTCCTTCGAATAGCCAGAGAAAGAAGACATTCGACGAGCCCAAATCTAACTTGTTCGTCGCGACTGTCCATGTAAGTTCTTTAACGGGACCTGAGCCATCCTCTGAAGTTTCTATTAGCAAGGCCTGCAAAACTCAATGTCTTTCTTTAACTTACGGATTGAGAATATAATGTCCCCAACGTCTGCGGAGTCGCCAATCAGGGATTGTTGCCAAAGTGCTATTGTGTAGTTTTTGAACTTTGTGTTGTAAGAGATATTCTTTGTTTCTCCAATCCTCCATGTTTCTCTGTTCTGAACGGGGCTGAAGAACTGGGCATAGAGGCAAGGGAAAAGAGAAAGCGATAGCAGGGCTGCGAAGAGCATCTTGGAGAACTGTTTGTTGTTGCGCAATTGTCAAGTCGAAGTGGCGTTGACTCGACCATGAGTGTGATATTGCTTCCTTATTATCAGACTCAGACCGAAGGCTGGCCGTTGCCAGCGGATGCTACGCCCGACCCAGCACTGTGGTTCGGAGGCCCACTGGCGTGTTCCAAACCCTTGTCATGCTTCCAACAGTTGTCTGCTGGATTCTGGACTTCCAACAATCAGCCTGCCACATTGCCCCTGCCTCGCCCTCGAAATCGCGAAGTTTTCCGGGCCAACTTCTCGAGGGCCTGCTTCAGGCCGGCATGGCTGGGTACGGTAGCCCGCCAGTCACTGATCACTCTTCAATTTTGCCGCTCATGCTGCATGCATGCACCCCTGGCATTGCTCTTTACGCTGTAAAGTCTTGTACTGCATTGGCGTAGATCATCAAGAAGACTTCACAAAATACTTGGAACGACGAATACCAGAGTATCTGGAAACATCGTCTAAACTACAAGAAACACAACGCCCGAAGTAAAGGCTTTTGTATCTATAGGATTTAGCTTCAGTTACCAAGAGAGCATGGCGGTCCCTCAATGGTATCAATGTTTGCTCTCGGCCGAAACAGGGTCTACCCCTGACCCTGAGATGTGGCTTTCTGCCAGTCAAGGATGTCGAAAAGGGTCCAATCATAACGCGAGAAAAGTTGCCGCCCAATTTCTTATCGACCGCCTCCTTGCCGCCGTCATTGAGGACTCAGCGCGGACTGCGGAATAAAACACGAACCAACTGCCTCGTATTGCCAAGGTGCTGTGATGGGTGGTGCATCCAAAGTCCCAACCAACGCCAAGCCCTTTCTAAAAGGCAAATCAGCTTTGAGCGTTTTCTGAACTGTTCCCCTTTCTTCCCCCATCCCAAGATCTGCTACCTCGGGTCTGGAAGTGCGATGAACACCTGGAACAAAGTTGCCTGTTTGCAGGGCTGAGAGCATATACCGTAAGATTGGAGGAAGATCCTCTGTCCTTTCTGAAGCTGTTCATCCTACCAGTCAGTAAGCAACCAGGTGGATGCTGGTATTGCCGTTGGGGGTTGGCTGAAAATTGCATTGTGCCCCCTCTCACCCATCCCGCCGCCGGCCGAGATTTTTAATTAGACAACCCACCATGCAGTCGGATACGGTTTGGCTTCCCAGCTGATTGTCCTCTTTCTTTCATAAGGCTTGTCCCCCGACAGATTCACTCCGCTTGGTGTTGTCTTTAATACTCTCATTTGCAAATTTCTGGCGTTCTGCTTCTCCTTTCCTAATGCACAAAACGAGCAGGATGCACTTTCTACCCATCAGGCCGACCTCCAAGAGGGACCTGTGCATCATCGCAGCAATCTTTGTCACGGTTGTATTATTCCTGCATAACCCGTTCCCTGACCACCTTATTCGGCCGGGAGGCAGAGGTTCAAAAGCTTCATCAACAGGTTTGATGGGCGCGATCCAAAACAGCACATTAGGCGTGAGTCCTCCCAAGCGCTGGCTGGAGGAACCACAATCTCACACTGATATGCCTGTAGTTTGAAAAGATTTACGTCGTCGGCCTTCCAAGCCGTACAGACCGCAGAGATGGCATGATACTTCAGGCCGCGCTGAGTGAGATTGACATCAACTTTGTTGACGGTGTGCCCGGCAACACCGTTGCTGATAAAGCGATACCAAAGACAAGCGAGCATGATCGCTTGCATGATGGTGCCATAGGCTGCTGGCGCGGCCACATGACTGCGCTCGAGGAGTGAGTCGAGTTCACGCCAATTACACAACACTCAGTCCACTGACCATGTCCTCAAGAATCGTTCGTCACAACCTATCTTCAGCTCTCATCCTCGAAGACGATGTCGACTGGGATATCAGAATCAGGCAACAATTGCATGACTTTGCTCTCTCGGCTCAGACCCTTACTCAGCCCCTTCCTGATGGACCTTCAACCTACGCGGACCCAACATACCCGAGGCCAGTTGAGAACTCGCCAGAGGTCGTCCCAGATATTCCTTTTGATTTTCTACCAGCTACTGTAGCACCGAAAACATCACCGTACGGAGACGACTGGGATCTGCTTTGGATCGGCCACTGCGGAATGCACTTCCCATTCCGAGACAATAAGAGTATACCGAAAGCTCGTATCATTCGCTCCAACGACGTAACAGTCGCTCCCAAGAAGAACTTATGGACATTCAACATCCCGTTCACTCTGAAAGAGACATACCCGGAGCACACGCGGGCATATCACCATGCCCAGGAGGGTGTCTGCACGCTAGGCTACGCGGTTAGCCAAAGGGGAGCAAGGAAGCTCCTACACGAGGTGGCTTTGAAGGATGTCAGTGAGGCGTACGACATCCTCCTGAGGTTCTTTTGCGAGGGCGCTAAGGGGCGGAAACCACACAACTGCTTGACGACGCAGCCGGCTTTATTCCACCATCACCGGCCTGCTGGCCCCAACAGTGCGATGAGCGACATTGGGAATCATGGTGACGGTTTCAGAGATGTTAGTATGACGGATATGGTGAGATGGAGTGTGCGTCTGAATGCCGATGCGCTTCTCGAAGGAAGGGCGGATTTCGTTGACCAATACCCTGATGATAAATGAGTTAAGATACTAGAGTCTTTGTTGCTAGCTGGCTAGACTATGATTAGAGTATGCTCTGCCAAGATAGATGTATGACTGTATCACAAAGCGAGGTAGCAAGTGGAAGACTTGTATGGTAGAAAGTGGCTTGATTCCTCTAAGTGGAAGACCCGTATGAGGGTCCTATCTATATACCGTACAAGACGGGTAATCGGCTTGTGGAAAGCGGTATCGTACGGCAGTAACCGGCAGCGCCACGTGTGGCGCTGCGACACACCCCCTCAGTCGCGCCCGTGTGGAACGAGGGCGCGGCTGCAATACGATATCGTCAGATTCCAAAACGATCTGTAGTGAATGCGGTAAGTACAAATGAAAAAGTAAATAGTCGTGGTTGTTGTGTTCCGTTATAATTGGCCCCTGGGTGTGCATGGCGATGCGTTCCGTACATCCTGTAGGTTGAGAAGTGCTCGGAAGTGTTCAAACTTCGCTCGTGGTAGGTTTTTCGTAAGTCCGTCTGCTGGCATGTCATTCGTTGGCATGTAGACGACTTTGAAGCTGCCCGCTGCGTGCTCTTGTCGTAACCACATATTCTGGATATCGACGTGGCGGAGTCGGGTTGAGATACGTTCCCCTTCCCCTACTACGAGACGAATCGTTTGCTGATTATCACAGTACACGTTCCAGACGTCGCCGAGATCGAGGGTGATATCCCTGAAGAGCCTCTTGAGTGCCATCGTCTCTTTCGCAGTATGTTCGAGGGCCAGAAGCTCTGCTTCTGTCGTAGACGTAGTAACAGTACTTTGGCGCGTCGCCTTCCACTGGACGACTCCGCCGAAGAGGAGGAAGATGTATCCCTGTGAAGATCGACGAGTTGAGTCGTCAGCGAACGAAGCGTCACTTGCTGCGAGGAGGACATGAGCGCCGTCTTCCATTCCGTAGCGAATCGACAAGTACGCGGTGTGGTAGAGATATCTGACCACTCGTTTGGCAGCGCGGATGTGAGTTTCGCTTGGATTGGTAAGAAATCTTGACAGCAGAGATGCCGCGAAGGCGACGTCGGGTCGGATCATTATTGACGTATACAGGATTGATCCAACAATCTCTTGGTAGAGCTTCACTTCAGCCTTGGTCGCCGTTCCCTCGTTCGGTACGAAGTCGACCATCGGAAGAGGGGTGGCCGGTGCGAAAGCGTCGTCGAGACCGAACCTTGCTGCCATTGCTTTGATATACTGGTCGTGGCAGAGGTAGATGTGCCCGGCAGCACGATCTCTTGTGATACGAATGCCGAGATACGAGTTGGCTTCGCCCATGTCCTTCATCTCGTAGGTATTCTTCAGGCCGTCTATTATTGCATTCCCGAGGTGTTCGTCTTTCTTATGGTACATCACGAGGATGTCATCCACATAGAAGACGACGAATACCTTCGAGTCCGTCGTCCTGAAGATGCACGGGTCCTCCTTGCACTGGACGAGGCCTAGGCTGCGGAGGGTTGATGAGAACTCTGTGTACCATAGTTGGGGGGCATCCCTCAGTCCGTACAGAGCGCGTGTGAGGGTGGCCACCATGCCATGGAGTTTGTGCCCATCAGGCAATTCGCAAACGACTGGTTTGCCTGATGGGTCTCGTTTCGCGTTAAGGAAAGCGTTGATCACGTCGAGCAGCCTAAGCTCGAGGTCAAACTTCGCTGCGAGAGCGATGGTAACACGAAACGTACGCGCCGCAAGAGTTGCGGCGTATGTGTCTTCAAGGGGATCCTTTGGTTGGAGATCGCCTCTCACGCAAATTCTCGCTTTGCAGCGTGAGAGGTAGTTGTCTGTATCCCACTTGTATGAGAACACCCACTTGAGAGGGAGCGGTTTAGAGTCGCCCGCGTCCTCTCTTCGTACGACCTTCCAGGTGCCCTTTCGCTTCAGCTCGGCAATTTCTTCCCGTGCTGCTGCGAGGAACATCTGTTTGATGTCTTCTGGGAGCTTATGAAGCTCTCTCCAAGAGTTGGGAGGTCGTACGGCGTGGTCTCTATGGAGTCGAACGCTTAGTGGAGGCAGAGGTAGTCGGCGTTCGATCCGTCTTATGGCAGCAATCACCATGGAGTGAAGGGTGAAGTGCCCGTATGAGGCTTCGTCTCGTGCTTGCTGCTGATCAGGCAGGAACATCGAGAGAATGGAGTCCTCGTATCGCTCGCCACGAAGGAGCGTGAAGAAGGCTTGAGTTGACGATTCACCCCCTGAGTCTACGGTGCGAGATTTCCGTTTGGGTTGGTCGACTATTCCGTGGAATCGTTGGGGAGGTCGTTTGACTCTTTCGCTTCTTCTAGTTGGGCCGCCGTCTGAGTGCGCGCGCTGCACGTCAGACGTCGAGTCTGGAGGTGGGATCTCGGTTCCGTCGCGTGGCCGCGCGAGGTCTTGAGAGGCTGACTCTTCCAGCTCGTTCTGTCGGGAGTGACCCGTCTCGTCGTCGGAAGGAGAGCTTCCGCGGACGTAAATTACATCTTCAACCAGTTCTTCTACGTGCCCTGGCTCCGACACGTCGAACTGGCCTTCGACGTCTTCTCCATCGCGAGGTCCCACTGCCCGTTCGCTTTCGTGTTCGGGTACCTCGTTCAGTGAGAGATTTTCGGTCAACTCGGCGAGAGGTTGTACGTCCTCAGGGGCCGGTGTTGACTCGGGAGTTAGGAACCCTGTTTGCCCTCGTTCCGCCTGACCATCGTTCGAGCGGACAGCGTCCTGTACCGCTTTCTCTATTGGCAGGGGATGAGGGGCTTCAGCTTGCGGCTGTGAGGGTGTCGTGTTGGAGGTCAGTTGGATCGTTCTGATTACTCCGAGCATGTCGGCGAAGGCGTCGGCTACATGGTCCTCTTCTTGTATGACGGAGACCACGTTTTGTGCCTCGGTTTGTTGGATCGCTTCGCTGGCGTCGCTCTTCGTATAGAACTTCGTCTCGTCGAATCTGACGTTCCGTGTGATGACAACCCTTCGCAGCGCGGGCACCCAGATCCTGTAGAGGTTGTGCGCGTTCTGCACATACCCTACGAGGTATCCGATATGGGCGCGTGGTTCTACTTTGAATCTTCTTCTGTTAATTCCTCTCTCTCGTTCGCTCATGAGCGGGTACGCTCTACAGCCGTATGCGTAGGTCCAGCCCCAGTGTGGTCGCAGATCTCTTGTGAGCGCCGCTGCGTACGCTGGCGCCCACCACCGGAAGTACTGTCGGAACCAGAGTTCCTCTGTCTGAATTGGAGATATCCAATCGTTCCGTTGGATTGGACTCGCATTGTATGTGTATATAGCTGCGAATCCGACTTCTGGCCACAGCTCGTATGGTAGACCAGACGAGTCTAGCATCTTGACGATCTTTGTGATGATCTCAAGGCCGGTTCGTTCGCCACTGCCGACAGGTTCCTTCGTGTTGGGTGGAGGTAGCTCGAGCTCAATCCCTTGGTCTGCTGCCCAACGTTCGTACTCTGTACTTCCCTTGATCCCAATAACCGCAGTTTCGTTGTCTGACCTAATCTTACAGATCTGGAGGCCTCGCTGTGTGCTGACCCATGCCTCAAAGCGTCTTAGGATGGTAAACACCTCGTCGTGGGTCTTCTTCGCGAGTGGGCTGCCGAAGATACGTCCGGAGTACTCGTCTCGGATGAGGAGGAGCCATTCAGAGCCGTCAAAGCCTCTGGTGAAGTCAAATAGGTCCCATGAGATGCGGTAGTACGGTCTCACTGAGCGTCGTTCTGACGTACGACGCGATATAACCTGGCTGGCGTGTGCTCTCGCGCAGTGCTCGCATTCAATACGAGTAGGACCACGGATTCTCACCCCCCGAGTGTTGGTGGCGAGGTGAGAGAGCGCTTTAGGGCCTAAATGTCCGGTACGAAGGTGCCAAAGCCATCCGTCGTCTACGCGGTCCGGTGGAGGCTGACGGGAGGTACGGAACGAGGTTGAGAACACGTCGATTCGCGTTATTCCCGCGAGGCTGACTGGTGGTCTGTCACGTATCGTAGGGGACTGTGGACAGGGGGAGATCGGCTTGTATTGCAAGAAGACTAGGTTTCCTTCACGCTGGAGTTTGAGAATCGTGTTGTTCTGCTTCTCCATCGGTCCCCAGCGCAGCGAGCAGTCGAATCCCGTATACCAGAGACCGCTCTTTTGTCTAATCAGCCCTTCCGACGCGATGTTGACGTGGAATCCAGGCACATACGCGACGTCCTCAAGCACGAGGTCGATGCCGTTCAGTACGCCTTTCATCACGCGCGTGCCGTATCCCTCGATGGGGTACGCCGTCGTTCCGGACTCAACAAAGTGCGTGTCTCCTGGAGGCTTGAGAGAGCCTGGTTCGAGCAGGGATTTGTCGTTCACAAGATGGGTTCCTCCGCAATTATCCAGTACAGTAGATTCGCGCAGTGGGTGAGCGGGTTGAATCGGAGTCGAGAATACGCCAAGAGACGAACCTCGCACGAATGGGGTTGAGGCTACTAGGGATGAGGAAAAGTCGTTCCGTAAGATCGTAACTGCAACAAACTTTGTTGGCATGCTTTCGGTGGTAGATGACTCGCTCCCCTGTCCCTTGGTCCACCCCTTTGCTTTGATTGTCTTGCGAAGATCGGCCCAATGCCCCTTTTCGACCCGCTTTCTGATAGCTGCTCGAGTTTCGTCGCTCAGAGTTCCTCGGAATGCCGCTGACTTGCCGCGGTAGGCGTACTCGACGAATCCGCACTCGGCCGGGGTCCATGGGTGTACATTACGCTCGCAGGGGCACTTCTGGTTGGGTCTCTTGTTTGATCGCTCTGTCTGATTGCCAAGCGTTGCGTATGCCCCTGTCGCTTTACGGAGCTTCGGCGGGTCTGTCCGTAGGAGGTCTCCGAGAAGGTCCGCGTACTGCTTCAAGGTCAAACGGACTCCCGTCTGAAGGCGCTCCTGTTTGTGGATGTCGTTGAGCTCGCTGGTTGCCCAGGATGTGGCGATTCGCTGCTGGACGGCTCGCAAGAACGTCTTGACCGCGAGAGATCCCTCAACCTCTGGTATGGA